AATGTAGCTGAACCCGTTCAACTCTTTTGTGATAATCAGGCGGTAATTTATATTGCCTCAAATCCAGTTTACCATGAACGTACAAAACATATTGAAATCGATTGTCAAATTGTGCGAGAGAAGCTGCAGGAACGGTTATTGAAGCCATCCTATATTTCATCCAAATTGCAAATGGCAGATATCCTGACCAGGGCAATTGGTTCACGAAAATTTCATTTTCTCCTGAGCAAGATGAGGATTTACAGCATCACATCCCCATCTTGAGGGGAGTAATGAGCAGAACACAGAAAATTGAGGCACACGTTTTAAAGGTTGACTCAACCATTTATGGTCCAACATGTGATATGATATTGTAGCTGTTTGTTTTGTATTATTAGTAGTAGACTTAGATCTTGATTTTCAGGGCTTTTTGTAATATTTAAGAACTCATCTGCATGTCTTCATTTTGTGGTGGAATCATTGGAATGATGATATAACCATATTGGCCACCAAACAATTTCCCTATCTTCAATTCTTGTTACCATTTTCCTTAATTTTAATTTAATGGAACAATTTTTTTTATTTTTTAAATTATTTGTTGGTGTTTGAAACCTGAAGGAAAAAAATGAGGGCATTAAAAAGACATGGGAGTGATATAAGTAGCTTGAACTACTGGGTGGTTATAGACTATTACGGGCTTGTATAATCTGTTAATGTCCTTAAACCTCAACTTCAAAATCTCTCCAATGAACAGGTGCAAAAAGGAAGCTTGGAATGCGCCATTTCGATGTTCAGGTTGCCTGTCATGGGCTAAAATATTTGTATACGATGTATGCAATACTATGTTTGAAATTGAGGCAAATGCAAGAATATGACAGGATGTGTCAGCTAATTACATCATATCGTCTTGGCAAAACTAACTGCTTGTTTGATTTTGGAGAAACTAGTAACGTGCATTGAATGTTATTTTGAAATACTCTATAACTGATGTAAAAGTAATATTTGATATCAATTTGTTGAGAGGATTTGATGAGTTTCAAACGCATAAAGAAAATAAAATTTAGGATAGAAATTTAAGAGAACAAAATTGTATTCTCAAAACTCAACTTCTATGATTCATATTTTTTGTGATGGTGAAATACTACAAATGAGTAACATTTTTATACAACATTTGGTATATAAGAATTAATTGCTAATATATAAATTTAAACAACCATTAAAATTCCTAGATACGCGAATATAAATAAATTCATTTATAATAATTCTAGATTCATAAAGTCAAGAATCATTGAGTATGGATTAATGTGAGTGTTAATTAATTGATAATTAATCCTTTGAAACACATGCATGATAAGGATTTTGTAATATTTATTACATATTAAAAAAAAACAAAAAGTAAGGTATTATTAAAATAATTAATTTATAGTAAGGTTAAAGTCGTTCAAAAAATTATTCTCACTTAACGTGATATTTAATATATTATAGATTGTATTATGGACTTAATACTTGCTCCCATTGTTGGAATTTAGAGACACAAAGTAAGTTTCGAAGTGTTAATATATTCCGATACTTGCAGCTCTAGTGTAACTTAGGAGNGGGCGAGGGGTGGAAGAGGAGAAATGAAGATATTTTTTGTATTTCTAATTTTTTAATAAATTATTTAGGGGCTCATTTGATTTTTATTTTTTAAAAAAATTTGGGAGTATAATTGAAATTAGTTCCTTTTTTTCTTTTCTTTTCCTTTTGTTTTGATATATTCGTCATTTTACAAATTTTTTATTGAGAGATTGGATGAAAATAACAATTTCTGCTATGAAAGGTGAAAATATGGGAGAAAATGCAAAAATAAAATAAAATGTAGGAATGTTTTGTTGAATGAACTCACAACGTAAGGACGTTTTGTGCTAATGATCCATACGGAAAACTCCAATGCCTTTTGAAAATAGCACAAAACGTTCATATTTGAAACTTTTAGTGCAGAATAATTGAGGTGCGGAAGATCCCCTACCGTCCAATTTCATTAGTTTAACAGTTAAAAATCGTAAAAATTGCCGAAATTAAAAAGAATTCATTGTAGCTGCATTTTCACCCTTAATTATACATTTGATTGTGCAAAACATCATTTTCATCCAATTTCTCAATAAAAAGATGTAAAATGACGAATATATCATTTTATTTAAATAAAACAAAAGGAAAGGAAAGGAAAATAAAGAACTAACTATAACCATAGTCACAATTTTTTTTTTTAAAAGCGCAAATGAATTTCAAATAAATTATTTAAAAAAAAATCTCTTCCTTTTTCCTTCCTTCTCCCTCCACCACCACCCCCGAAATGCAAAGTGCAATTCCTCTTTGCAAAAGGTGCAGACTCTTGACCTTGATAGTGATGCTTTCAATGAGCAAATAGATGCAGGTATTGAGTTGGGCCCTGAAGATAGAGTTGTTGGAATATGGAGGGAGCCAGATTTGGTACCATTTTGCAAAGTGCTGTAAATGAACCTGTTCAAGAGGTTTGTGTTGAAAATATTCAATACAATCATGCTAAGAATAAGAATCACATAATTAAAATTAATGCTTTGAAATTCATACCTGCGGAAGACATTGTTATGTATGAATATTACCAGCCATATCTTCCTCTCCTTGCTCTTCACAAATAATTGGCTGTCAATGGGACAAGTCAAAACCATATGGAGAGGAGAGGAGATCTAGCCATTATATAGGAAATCATAAAGTCAACATATTACCGACTCTAACTCTAATTAGAGTTTACTTAATTCCAGCTCACATACTTAAAATAACCATATTATAATAATAAAGTCTGTAAGGTGTACAATGGCTCAAGTCACTAACATTTTGGGTCCAATCACAGTATCATTGCAAATTATACATCTAACCCGTAAAATTCGCAATCAAATGAAAGCCCACATAATAGAATTATTCTAACAGTTTGACCACCCCCTTGCACCCTCCCATTCTATTTGTCAATTTGATTTATATAATTTTGTTCTTACCCAAATTATATGTGTTTATTGTGCTTTGATGCATCTGAAATCATAATTATCAAGCCAATGCATTTTGATGGCTGCTGTTCTAATTTTCAGAGTTCAAAATCTGTTTGAACTCATAATATTTTTTTTTCACCTACCTCTTAATTTGGCTAACTTTTATAGGTCCTCCCCGTTTCTGCTTTGACACCACCAGCTTCCTAACCGGTTAACTCAAAGAGTACCTATAACATTTAATCAAATAAAATGCTTTGAGCTTCTGGCACGATATTATGTCCTGAAGCGGCAGCATGTTCTTGCTGCTAATGTATTTGTAAGGCTAGCAGAAAGACGCTACAGCGAAGCAGTTCAAATTCAAATAAGCAGTTCCATTAGCTTAAGAGGAATTGGACTTTGCATTTTTTGTTGTGGTGGTGGAGGAGGAGGAGGCGGAGGCGGAGGAGGAGGAGTAGAAGGAAAAGAAAGATTTTTAAAAAAAAAAAAAAAATTTATTTGGGATTCATTAGCACTTTTTTTTAAAAAAAAATTGGGATAATGATTATAATTAGATCTTTCCTTTCCTTTTGATTTATTTAAATAGAATGGTATATTCGTCATGTTACAGTTTTTTATTGAAAAATTGAATGGAAATAATGTTTCAAGCAATCAAATGTATAATTAAGGATGAAAATGTACAAAAAAAAAAATGGAAGTTAATGACGTTTTCCAAGATAATACTTAAAGGTAGGGACGTTACGTGTTAATTACCAAAAAAAACCAAAAATCCCCACCCCCACCCCACACTAAGCCTATGTTTGGCCCCGATTTTTTCAAAACTTATTTTCAACCATGCATTATCCTATAAAATAATATTACACGTAAATCGAAAAAAATTCTTACTTTTTAATCACACATTCTCCAATAAAACACTATATAAAAATGCATTTTTTTGCCTAAAAATGGGGCTCAAACAAGGGCTACATTTCATCTTCCTTGACAAAACTGATGATATATGAATGTTTTCAATTAAACCCGGAAAACCCAATTAAAAGCAAATCAAAACCCAACATTCCATTCCATTCGTCATATGTACACACTACACTAAAAAATCAATTTCTATCGATCTTTGATTGTTTAGAAATTTTACCCAACAAAAATCCAAACACTAGATTTCTATCCAGAGCGACTGTTGCCCATGAATTTGAGTATTCCACACTAAATGTTTCAAACATGGACGTTTTGTGTTATTTTCAAAAGGCAGATAATTTTTTGCAGCATGCCCAATAGGTAGAGGATTAAGTGCTGTTTAGCCTTTCATAAATCATAGTTTAAGTTTCATACTTCAAAATTAAGATCATAATTAGTTATTTAATATATATTAAATAAACATATTATTGATAACTCACCTCCACTCATTAAAAATTGTGACCCAAAAAATCTTAGGCATTAGTCAGTAAGGTTGGCCCAATTTACAACTCTAAATCAGTATTCTAAAAAGCTTGCATAAACTTCGTCTAGGCACAACCTGCCATCTTGTTACGGTTTACGCTTTTTTTTGCTTAGGTTTGCTTAAGCTCGTAAAAGTTTAAAGCTAGACACACTTTACACTTTATTACAATGCTGCTCTAGACACATCGAAGTCCCAAATGCAACTTTCAATATTCCCAAGAAAAGTACCTAATTCAAGAAAGGTGTTGAACAATCTTATCTAATACACAAGATTTATATCGAAATGGCCAAAACAATGTTGTCCGGCTTCGAATCTACACAAGATTATTTTTTGGTATACATTAAGCCTATAATTGGGGCTCCCTTTTTTCAAAAACTCATTTTCAATCACATATTCTCTAATAAAATAATTTTACATGTAGACCGATTTTTTTTTTTTTTTTTAACCACACATTTTTTTTCCCCCCAAAATGGGCTCAAACAGGAGCTAAATTTCTTTCCATGTTACAAAGAGTGCAAAAAGAATGGTAGAAATTTAATAGAAAGCAAAAATTTATGGTACAAAAAGTCACGCCTTCATGAAAATCTTCATTTCTTCTTCCTCCAGATATCAGGAAGCATCCATCTTTTATGCCAATATATTGCCACTCTGGACCATAATGGGGACCCAAAATTGTACTCAAGAGGCCGCTGATTTGCAGTCCCTCCCACTGTCAAAGGCAACCAGACGTACCTCGAGTCCCTCAAGTTAGCTGGATTCCATCGATCAGCCATAAAAATGAAGAGGCCTGGGAGCCTGGGAAAAGGAAGCACATACGTGCTCTGAGAAAAGAATGTGGTAAACCGGACAACTTCATTTCCACCAATGCACGGATTCCCCAGCGTATTCCATGGCCCCAAAATTGATTTGGCTGCATGTGCAAGAGCCTTGTTTGGAGCCCAACCAGTACATCCTGATGTGATCATGTAATATATCCCCCCGTGCTTGAATAGAGCCGGTGCTTCCCGATGTTTTCCCACAAGAATTCTTTTCATGACACTTGTCACGTCAAGATAATCTTCTGTAAGTGGACCGATATGAAGATCGCTATTATCCTCAGACGAGTAGATAATATATGCAACCCCATCATCGTCCTTGAAGATTGTCATGTCTCGGCTGTCAAATCCATGGGGCCGTTTACTATAGAGATAATAAAAAGGACCAGTTGGGGAATCACTAACAGCAACGCCTACGGAAGCTTTTGTGTAGTTAGCATTGTCGATATGCATCCACATTACATATTCTCCTGTTTTATCGTTGTAAATTACTTTCGGCCTCTCGAGCACGTTCAACTTGTGTAGGTCATGAGTCTCATTTTTTCCTTCTGCAGCAAGCACAATACCCTCATTTTTCCATGTCCACAGATCCTTCGAAGAGTAACAACCAACACCCATGATGTCAACCTGCACGGAAAAGAGCAAGTTGAAAACAGTTTCTGGTGTACCTAGTGTAACAAAGGGTCATATCTGAAAATGGAACAGTGAGAAATATTAATCTCGTCCTGCAATGCACTTCCAAAGCAAAATTGTTGAAATATCTAATTCATGTATAAAACTTGCATCCATTTTCCGTGCTGGTACTAATGCTTCGCTAAACTGATTGACAGGTACCACACCTAGAGATTGATGGTCAGCTTGCTTGTATTTTATTCGACTACTAAATATCTTTTGGCCAGCTATTGTCTTTCCAAGGTCAACAAGTACCATGGGGTTATGATTTACAGATCCAATGTTCGAGAATTTACACAAGGGACCTTCCCCCTTCCTGCCAAAAGCATCTTTTCGGCTTCTATTTTATAATCTTCCTTGCTATCTATGTTGGTGACTGTCGAATGATCTTTGGGTGATATATGCACATAGAAGAATGTAAAAAACCCACGTGCAGAAAAAAACAAAGCAGGTTCTAGCTACTTGGAGGAAATAAGCAAGTTGCAGAATCAATGGGGTTTTTCAGATTGAGAATTAAAAGAAAGCAAAGAAATTGATCAAAGTCTCTGATCATGTGGATTAGGAAGTGAAAAAAGAAAATGAACTAAGGAAGAAAAGCCCAAAAGTGAATCTTGATTGAGGAATAAAGAATACTAAGGACAAGTTTGGTGCACGGTATAAGACAACACTATATAGTACATTGGGGCAGATTTCGACTTCTTTTTCTTCCTTAATCCTGTTCATGGGTTGACTGGTTTAGAATACCGCACACCAAACAGGCAGTAAGAGTTTGCCATAAAAATATGTGGGATTTCAAGAAGAGAGAAATGGAAGGAAATGGCAAGAAAGGAAAAGAGACACCTACATAACTGATTATTAGTGCTGCCATACCTTCAAGGTTTCATCCCTTTCTGACATAGACAAAACAGAGATTCCTCAGGAAATAGTTATCTGTAAGTTCAAATGTGTTTCACAAACATGCTTACAAGCTAAGGTGCGCTCACATGAGCACGCACACTCACAAAGAGCCTATTCTTTTTGCAGAAGTATAATAATGACTATACTTTTTAAGAAACAGAAAATGTGCTCTCGTGTTCTTCTATTGATGCTAAATCAATCATTCTCAAATGGTTTGTTAAACTCATGTAAAAAGATGTTATAAATTACCCGTGCTGCTCCTCTTTTGTGAGCATGGTAAGTGGGACCATCTTTATACTCGCCATACCAGTAGTAAGTCCTTGATCTCTCATCAAATAGAACACCACCTCCATGGGCTTGAATAGGATTGCCTTCAGTGTCCAACCATATTTTCCCTGGATAATAGTATAGACTGTCGTTGCCAGCATCTTTATTAGGATCTATAGCTGTTTTCATATCGGGGAAAAATATATGCCTAATCGGAGAAGACTCATCCAGAAATTCATCAATTAGGGTAGTTGTGTGCCTAGGTTTTCGTTTAGCAGAACGTGGGGAGTGCCTCCTTTGTCGAGGCATTTTTATATTCTCCTCCTCCACTGCTTCAAGTTTGAGTAACAGTGGGTGGCTACTCATACCGGCATGTATCTCTTTATTTTGTATATATGGTTGAGAAACTAAGGAGTACAAATGAAGCATAAGAAGGCATCCCACAACACTCAACACCACAATAGACATTGAACAACTGCTGCTCCCTGCATTGCAATTTAAAGAGGTTGGTTTTCGGTATTTGTTCCATTCGATATAAGATAATGCTGAATTTAAGAAACACAACCTCGCTGATTTTATTTAGAAGACAACTGAATGCTTGCCAATGTATATGAATAAAAACACACCAAGAACGCATATCCTAAATATATTGGTTTTATCTATCTATATGCAGTCACAGAGTTAGAGAACTCGAATAATAGTTCTTGACTTTCAAGAAATAAAGTAGTTATCTGGGCAATGGCAACTATGCAGGATGACATCTCTAAATCAAATAATCATTATTTTGAACACAAACTATCAAGAAAACTATGCATCAAATTAACTGACAATGAACTGAAAAGCTGAGATGTTTTTCACTAATAAAAGCGAAGAATTTAAAACTATTCATCGTCACAAAATTTCGTTCGAATCACTCGGTTCCACAAATTTAATCATCATGCAATTCATATTCCATGCCGCAGAGCACAGAGGACAAAATCAGCTTAAAAAATGGATTAAAACTGAAAATAAATAAAATTACATACGCCTATTTGCAAACAAGCTCAATCGAATTATACATATAAATTCAAAGAGTTCAGACACGGAAACAAATAGACAACTATTTCTCATTAAGCTACCCCAAAAGCTAAATGCCCCATTGAATAATAATTAACAGAAAATTAAGCAAGAACAAATTTAGAAATTTCTTAATTTTACCTGTAGAAAACCTAGATGCAAAAGGAAATAAATTTCTTGACATGGGTTTTTGCTGCTATTGGCTCTCGTAAATCCTGTCAACATATGAAACTCAATAATTTGAGCATCAGTTTATGAATTTTTCTCAAAATGATGGATTTATTGATTAGCTCCTGAACAACTTTCAAAAACCCCGTTCAGATTTTTCTCTTTAAAAATGGAAGAGAGATGAAGGGGTTGGGTTGAGTTGAGTTCATGAACCTTGGGTCCCGCATTGATGATTGATGACGATGAATAGGAGTATAGAACGAGATAAAAATTCACTATCTTTTCTTTTTTTTGATCGGAATTCACTATCTTTTCTTTATTGAGCAATGAGCTGTTCTATTATTTTTAGAAGTATTTTAAAAAAGACTAAAGTATAATAATTTGGAGACTACGCGAAATTTAAATAAGCTTTTTAGTATATCAATTTTTAATTTGAGAGAGAGCAATGAGTAGGGAAGGCAAAAAAGTTCGGCGGCTCGGGCTGGCTCGGAAAAAGCTCGAGCCGGGCTCGGCTCGGGTTCGGTCGCACCGAGCCGAGGCTCGGGCCGAGCCCCATGTGGGGGCTCCGAGCCGAGCCCAGGCCGGCCCGTGTGGCTCGCCGAGCCACACGGGCCAA